TATTTCTCCCATTTAAAACCTACTCTTATATATGCTAAAACTATAATAATTCTTTGAAAAGAAATATAAAAAAGAAATACAAAAATATTAGTTTGTGTTGTCAAACAAGTCTCTAAACCTTTTCTTTGTCTCCATTGCAACCATCGACGTGGCATGATCCTTTCCATCGATTTCCATGACCAATCGGACGGCCACCACCGTTTTCCAACTAACACATCGGCCTGCCAAACCTAATACTAAATGGGCAACCGATAAGCTTTCTATTTAAACGGCTTCATCTCCTACGCATCATCTCAGGAAATTTATAGCTTCATAATTTCCTACCAACAAAATAAAAAAAATGGATCAATGTACCAATGGACATGCCAACATCAATCATGATAYGACGGACCCAYTGAATTGGGGTGTCGCTGCGGCGGCGTTAAGCGGAAGCCACCTGGAGGAGGTGAAGAGAATGGTCGGGGAGTATCGGAATACAGTGGTGAGGTTGGGTGGCGAGACGCTGACTATTGCCCAGGTAGCCGCGGTCGCCACCACCAACGTTCAGGTTCAGCTGTCGGAATCCGCTCGTGCCGGAGTTACAGCCAGCAGTGAKTGGGTTATGGAYAGCATGAAGAAAGGAGGAGACASCTACGGTGTCACMACCGGTTTCGGTGCCACCTCTCACCGGAGAACCAAGGAAGGTGGTGCTCTTCAACAGGAACTCATTAGGTATATTATTTAAAATATCAATATAAATAAACAAATGCATAATTAATTCCATTTTCTTTCAAATAAACAAAACGATGTTTTTAAGATATATATTTTGGCCCATTAAAAAGCTTAAAAGACAGCTTTCATGCAATGAAGATGGTCTCGAATTTATTTGATAAAACCAAGCATTATTATTGTATATATATACACACACATATACATACATATATATATATATATATATATATATATACCATAATTAAGCATGCATAAAAAACACCTTATTACGACTATTTTCTTTTGTGTAGAGGTTATGTTAGGATAGATTACTGTCAATGTCATTGGTCTCCAAGTAGTCATTACTGCTTTTGGTCATTACGTAAATGGTGTTTTATCATGTATAGTTGAGTGASACAACATACTAGCTATTGTCGTTAAGCGTCACGCTCGTGAGCCATGAGGATCGACCACGGTATACCTAGAAACTTTATGTAACTATATATTATATATATATATATATGTGTATATACATATAAATATTTACAGAGAAAGAGAGAATGAAAAAACAGTAGTTAAACAAGGGAATAAGAAAAAGGTCTAATCACATGTGATTTTATATTAACATCACGTACAAAATCATATGTGATTAGGTCGCGGCCAAAGTCGCATTTACATCTTTTTTCGTCTGTCAAGGTAAAATTGCATATGATTTTACGCGTAATTTGACCGTTTTTATATTCTATTATTTAGTTTATATTCTCGTTTGATCCTTTCTATATAGACTAGGACAACCAAAATATAAAAAATGGAAATCACATATAGTTTTATAATAAACGATTCGCTCATTGTTCTAAACATCGAGTAAATTACATTTCGTGGACTATTTCTAATGTGGTAGGTGGGCTTGGTCAACTAAAATCCTTGTGGTATTAAATATTGATGAATTATATTTAAATTAACAAAAAAAATAATTATTAGCACATAAAATATGAAAGATAATATTAGGAATATTAAAAACTCTAACATGTTTTATTATACAATTGAATTATATATTTATATATAACTAGAAGAGTACTCATATAATGTAACGAAATACATCTCGATTTTAATGTTTCGTTTTATTTCTTTTTTGTTTCAGTCGATGTTATAATATGGTTTTATGTGGTTTTAAGAAAATGATAATATTTTTATCTTTGAATAAAATATAAATATGAAGTTATCATAAAAAACTGAAAAAAAAAAAAGGAAAATGACAAAACTAAACACTTTATACAACCCTCTTACACAAAATAACCAGTTTTTAGAGGTTTTACAAAACTAACCACACAGGGCCTTTTTCTTAGAAAAAAAATTTTAAAATTTCTTTTTTTCCACTTGGGGCGAGCCACGTCATCGGATCGCCCCCAGGGGCGATTCAGACTTTAAATATTTTTTAAAAATTTTTTTCCTTTTTTTTTGTAATACCAATTTCACTATAAATACCAACAACCTGTTTCATAATTTTTCACACATTCCCTTTCATTTCTCTTCTCATATATTCTACTCTCACAACCTTTAACCCATTAAACACAATCAACCATCACAAAACATGAAATCACGTCAACATGATGATGTTTGTGTGTATCTTCGAATTGGCGGTTAAAGCCCGTACGCATATATACGTTAAAAATACGTACGTAAAACGTACGTGAATATACATAAATATGTGTGCGTGTTAAAACTCATACACATATATACGTTAAAATACGAAGTTTCAATTTTTGTACCGTTTATATCGTTTTTTTTTTACGTAATGCAATGTCTATATATATATATATGTATGTTACCGCAATTTATATTGTTTTTTTTACGTTATGCATCTATATATATATATATATATATATACAATTACCGCAATTTTTATCGTTTTTTTACGTTATGCATCTCTATATATATACGTTACCGCAATTTATATCGTTTTTTTACATTATGCATCTTTCTCTATATATATATATATATACGTTGCCGCAATTTATATCGCTTTTTTTACGTAAATGTAAGTAGGTATGTATATACACGTATATACATACGTACACATATATACATACATACATACATACGTGAAGATACGTAAATATGCATACGAGTTTTAACCCGAAATGTACGGATCGCCCCCGGGGGCGATTCGTGTGGTTAGTTTTGTAAATCCCCTGAAAATAGTTATTTTGTGGAAGAAAATTGTATAAAGTGGTTAGTTTTGTCATTTTCCAAAAAAAAAAATATTGATATTAGTACCAGACTATTTAAAATTTCTCTTTTTTTGTGTATTTTTTAATTTAATTTTTTTAATTTTTGGTTTAATAATATATTTTATTTAAAAATAATAATCACGTATTTTTTTGTTAGAAGTCAATGATTATCCTAATTATATTTTAAAATTTTTATATTTTTAAAATAAGATATTTATCCTCTATTTGATTATATTTATCTACAGCTAGTTACACGAATTCAAATATGAAGCTTAATAAATTATATTTATGCATAATTTACTTGTAATATTGAATTTTAAATAACATATATTAATAAACAGTATTTTATATATAAAAAATATTTTTTAAAAGTTTTTATGAAATCATTTATAATATACTATACATACTTGCTATTGCTTTTATAATAATAGCAATAATTGAGAATGTTGCTACTGAATCATGTGGACGTTTGTTGCTTTAACATTAAACATTCTGTGATCGTGGGGAATTAATTWATTTATTTTAATTTTGCCATTTAATCAGATTCTTGAACGCCGGAATCTTTGGTACCGGAGCGGAATCAGACCACACGCTGCCGCAATCCACCACAAGAGCCGCCATGTTGGTCAGAATCAACACCCTCCTCCAGGGCTACTCCGGCATCCGATTTGAAATCATGGAAGCCATCACAAAATTTCTCAACCACAGCATCACCCCATGCCTACCCCTCCGTGGCACAATCACAGCCTCCGGCGACCTGGTCCCACTATCGTACATTGCCGGAATCTTGACCGGCCGCCACAATTSCAAGGCCGTTGGCCCCGCCGGAGAATTGCTTGATGCCGTCAGTGCTTTCAATCGTGCCGGTATCKATACCGGATTTTTCGAGCTACAACCTAAAGAAGGGYTTGCGTTAGTGAACGGGACCGCGGTTGGGTCCGGTTTGGCTTCTGTGGTTCTTTTTGAAGCTAACATCCTCGCGGTCTTATCGGAGGTTTTGTCGGCCATTTTTGCCGAAGTTATGCAAGGAAAGCCTGAGTTTACAGATCATCTGACCCATAAACTGAAGCATCACCCCGGCCAGATTGAGGCTGCGGCGATCATGGAGCACATTCTTGACGGTAGCTCCTACGTAAAAGAAGCAAAAAAGATACACGAAATGGAWCCGCTTCAAAAGCCGAAGCAAGATCGTTACGCCCTTCGTACATCACCGCAATGGCTTGGTCCACTTATTGAAGTGATACGGACATCGACAAAATCGATCGAGAGAGAGATTAATTCGGTGAACGATAACCCCTTGATCGACGTTTCTAGAAACAAGGCACTTCACGGAGGGAATTTTCAGGGTACCCCGATAGGAGTGTCGATGGACAATACACGGCTAGCCGTTGCATCCATAGGAAAGCTCATGTTTGCACAGTTCTCCGAGCTCGTAAACGACTTTTACAACAATGGGTTGCCATCCAATCTCTCTGGAAGCCGTAATCCAAGTCTGGATTACGGTTTCAAAGGAGCAGAAATTGCCATGGCGTCCTACTGTTCGGAACTCCAGTTCCTCGCAAACCCTGTAACCAGTCACGTGCAAAGCGCAGAGCAACATAACCAAGACGTGAACTCGTTAGGGTTGATTTCTTCACGGAAAACAGCCGAAGCGGTCGAGATTGTGAAACTCATGTCATCGACTTACTTGGTGGCACTATGCCAAGCAGTCGACTTGAGGCACTTGGAGGAAAACCTCAAGTCGACCGTCAAGAATGTGGTTAGCCAGGTGGCGAAGAAAGTCTTGACCACGGGYMACAACGGCGAGCTTCACCCATCTCGCTTTTGCGAAAAGGATTTGCTCAAAGTGGTCGACCGTGAGCACATCTTTTCGTACATCGACGATGCGTGTAGTGCAACTTACCCTCTAATGCAAAAGTTACGACAAGTTATAGTCGAGCACGCCCTTGCAAACGGTGAGGCCGAAATGGAGTCGAGCACGTCAATCTTCCAAAAGATCASGGGTTTCGAGCAAGAACTCGAAGCCCTTTTGCCGAAAGAAATCGAAAGCACTCGGGTCGATCACGAAGGTGGAAAATTGGCGATCWTTAACAGAATCGAAGAATGTCGATCGTACCCGTTGTATAAGTTYGTGAGGACTGAACTTGGAACCGGTTATTTGACCGGCGAGAWGAYGGYGTCGCCSGGAGAGGAGTTTGAAAAGGTGTTCTCGGCGATCTGTGCCGGAAAATTGATCGATCCACTGTTGGATTGCTTGAAGACGTGGGATGGGAAGCCACTTCCCATTTCATGATGAAGTTGAAATAAAAATACGTACATTGGATTATGGTTTGTGTTTGTAATTGTAATTTACATGAAATCACACATTTTTATATTAAGTTTGTAATTGATAGGATTTTGTGTCTTTAAATATGAACCTTTTAAATCTGTATATTCATCTTAAACAATTAAATATTGTGATATTTAATTTAAATATAAATCTTATTTATTTCATATGAAAATAAATGTAATGTTGTTAATTCTTTTTTACATCATGTTTATTTATAACATTAYAAGAGTCGTCATCTCATTTACCGGGTAAGACTCTTCATCCTTCTCATCMCTCTTACCCGGTAAGATTCTTCGWCTTTCTYWTGTTCATCCGATAWGGAAATTCATGCRTTAAGCACTKACCAAAGTAAGTATTTAATAAGCGGCATCTAAGTCTCACATGCATAGACCTCTGCCTTTGACGTAGAAAATTTTGTCAAATGGTGAAATTGATAATTAATTAGTGTAATATAAAATAAAATCAAAGTTAAATAAAATTGACGATACCTAATTGTAGCATGTAGCAACGTTATGTTATGGGTCATAAAATATTATACACTAGGGGAAAATAAATTAAATGGTGACGTAGACTACCAAATGTTGCCTTAGTAAATCCACCCTGACTCTTGACTTTTTGTTGGGAATATCCAATTCACCATAAATACATTATTTACACCAAATTTCATAAAAGTTTTAAATATTTATATATAACTCATATATTTCATATAACATGAAATAAATACATATACTTTGGTCCCAAAATATACAAATGCTACATACAAAAGTAGCTACAACTTTTTTCTTATATACATCAAGTACAAGACTTGTAAATATTTAATAACAACTTCTAGAATTCACATAGATGTAGTGCAATATTAATTCCATTCACATCTTCCYTTTTCCCTTATCCTACAAATATGTCTGACCTATAATTTACATTTTAAAACATAAGATAAGGGTTAGACCACAAAGTCTAGTCAGTAGTCCCTTTATTTGCAATTACAATGAGAAAATCAGCAAAACACTTTTTGAAAAGCAATTCTTTGAAATGATAATATAAAAATATTATTTAATGACATCAAACTTTTTTCGCCGCATCATACAGAAAAGACAACCCCATTTTATCGCATTAGACAACATAAAAATCAATTTGTCGCATCAAATTCAATATACACCAATCTTGYCGCACCTTATTGATGCGATATCATAATTCCTCGGATCATATGGATGCGACYACCTCTTTTTGTCGCATCACGCTGATGCGGTAACCCCAATTTCTTGCATCYAACAAATGTGATCACTCTAACTTGTCGCATCCAACAGATGCGACAAACAAACTTGTCGCACCATATAGATGCGATAATAATAACTTCTCGTACCACACTAGTGTGATAAACCCAACATGTCACATCTGATTGATGCGATAAAGTAACACTCTTAATCAAAACCCAATCTCATCGCATTAGACACATGCGATAAAATGAATCCCATCACATCCAACATATACGATAACAATAATCCCATGGTCAAAAGANAATCAAAACCCAATCTCATCGCATTAGACACATGCGATAAAATGAATCCCATCACATCCAACATATACGATAACAATAATCCCATGGTCAAAAGATCATCATTTCCATAATTTGATTATGTCACATTTATCCTAGTATACCCAACTCTTGATTATACCACCCTTATTACAAAGAGATACCCAATTCTTGATTATGTCATCCTTATTATCAAAAATATCAATCTCCTAATTATACCACTCTTATTACAAAAAATACACAGGTCCTGATTATGTCACCCTTATTACAATCAAATGATAAAATCATATCACAACCTAAAAATTATGCTAATAAATAACATATGATTATCAAATACTTATGTATGAAACTTTACAGTTTCTTCACCAAAAACACATTAAATGATGTCCTTAAAAATAAAACTCACCTTATAAAACACAGTAGATAAAAATGATAAACTCAGTAGCAACAACAGTTAAGAGTAAGTAGTCAGATTCTTCTTCCTCCCTTCTGTTTTTTTTTTCTTCAAACCAGGAAAAAAAACACACACATACACCAACTTTTCTCCCATATCTTTAAAAGGAAAGATAGTATAATAAGTTTAAAATAAGAGGCGGTGCATGTGAAATTATTTTTAAAGTAATTTTTCAAAACACCTCCCTCATCTCCCATAACTTAATAAAAAAGAATCCCAAAACTTTTAACTTAATTATCATACATAGGTTACTATGTTTTTATATATAAAGTCTTAATTACAACATTTTATCCTTGATGTACAACTCAACTATGCTATAGAATAACACACTCTGAGAACTTCCAAAGTGATGATTCACGCTTCATCACATACAAAGTGACGATTCAGAAAAAAAAAAAAAAAACTCTCATCGATCACACAAAAGCTCTAATCGATTACTGATATTATGATTACTATTCCATATCGATTTCTGATATATATATATGTATATGCTTTATTACATATTCACACTTTTCTTCTATTCAAACTTCTGTCTAGGTATGTTAATTTGCTTTCATTGATTGTTTCATTATATCGATTGTTAGATTCCATCGATTCTTGGATTTCATGTTTTTGTTTTCCATCG